GTACACTTAATAAAAATACACATTCACATTTTTTCTTACTGTCTGAAGAAGTAAGAAAAATTTACTTACTGACCAAACTTCACTTGTTTTAGTTATAATTATCTAATATATTTGTATTTGCTAAATGCTACAACAATGAGAGAAAGAATATGTCAGAAATCTATTTGAGTGTCTTCAAAATCAGAAGCAAATCAACTCAATTAAATGTCTTTTAAAATATGCAGCTGGATTATAAAAGAGGATAAAAGCTGACTGTCGACTGTCTGACCTTGTTATCTTCAGACTGGTGGATTTTGTCAACTTTAAAATCAGCAGATCTTCTGATTTTAATCTGTCCTTATCTCTGGCAATGCTTGTAATGCATATCTAAAGCTTGCCAAGCATTTTTCAAGCCATCAGTCTGAGGTCACTGGTACTTTTTTTTCACCAGTGAATTTAAAAAACTCTCAGGCTGATCGTTGTATGTTTTACTTTTCTTTATGCCTGATGCACCTTTGTGTTGTTTTTTTTAATTGTTTTTTTCTTCTCAGGTTTTGAGAGGAGCTTTGGAAACAAGCCATGAAAACGTAGAGGAACATGTGGATCAGATTATGAAAGAGAAGGAAATCAAACCCAATTCAGATCACCTGTACGTTTACTTTTACATCTTTATCCACGAGCTGATCTTTGACTTAGTCGTTTCGTTGTAGTTATGATTGACTCATTGTTATTTTCTCTGTTCGTCTTGCAGATTTAAGGCAAACCTGCACATCTGCCTGCTGCAGATAACGGGATACAACAGATTGTATTTTTGTGTGGAACACTTGAGGAAGGAGGCCTTCGACTCTGATAACCCAAAACACGAGGCCATGCTGTTGAAGGTGTGTTTTTTAGAGTTTTGTGCACGACATGTCAGGTGATGTTAGTCAATTTTGAACACATCAGTGTCGGACCGATAAGTGAAACTGGGCCGGCATGAATAACTAATGTTTATTTCCATCACGGCTGCAAGTAAAAGTTTTTCAGGAATCAGTTATTCGGAAAATAAATTAGATGAAAAAATTGGCACATTCTGCAGATTTTCTTTGTTTAACCACTTAAGCTTTTTTTACACAATATTAGAAATACATTAAAATGTAAAGAGGCATAAATAATTCAATTCCTTTCTTTAAATAAGAAAGTAAAAATGTTATTTTGGACATCTTTGTTCCTGTGGTCCATTCCAGACGCCGTTTCGATGTTTGACTTTAGGACTTTGTGTTTTTAGCTTTGGGACTTATTGATGCCAACAGTGAAACTGGAGTCCAGGATAACGAGGCAGTGGGGAGACATCGGTTTCCAAGGAGACGACCCAAAGACGGATTTCAGAGGAATGGGTTTGCTGGGTCTCATCAACCTGCTGTGAGCGATTATCACATTACTTCACAGAAACTTACATACTTAACATAAATTAAGTACAAATACAGTTCTCTAACATCAGTAATAGAGGATTTAGAAGAATCTTGTATTTCTATACTGTGCCTCCCAAAAGTATTTACAACCCTTTCTCACATTTTGGCCATTTATACCCAAAGCCTTTGCTGTAGTTTAATGGGATTTTGTACTACAAACCAGGAGTATGCAAGCTGTGACCTTCTACAATAGCTCTTAAAGAGGAGCTACTGTAAAGATCAAACTAATATAATAAAGATCAAACAAATGTTTTTAAATATAGAACAAACAGATATTTTTAGCAGTTTTCTCATAAAATAACTGCAAAGAATTTGCACAAAAGTACCAACATTTTCTTGAAATCTATTTTCTGGTTGCTAGATTGGGGGTTATAGATGTAAATTGTGTTTCTTTAAAAATACTGACAAATTTCTTAGATATCATTCAAAAATTATAAGTTATCTTTCTTTCAAAAAGTCATGAGACATTTCTGGTTCTAAAAAAGTTTTAATTGGGAGGATTTAGAGCAAAAATGTCTCATAAGGTTGCAGACCTCTACTGTAGAGCAACACAACGTAAACAAATATAAATATGAAGTGAAAGGAACATTATGCATCGGTTCATAAAACATTTTACTAATAAAAATCTGAAAAGTGTGGCATGCCTCCTTTATATAGTCAAGTTCATTTGTATAGAACATTTCAGCAGTAGAGCAGCTTAGCTTGCTTTATTCCATGAGAACATAATAAAATAACCAAACATCAATACATATTACATTTTGTCAAAGGCTATAATCAAAATAATCAAATATATTGATCAGTGTTGATCAGCCAGCTCAAAGCACGTGGGTTTTAGCCTTGATTTAAAGGGTTTTCTGGAAGTTTGTTCCAGATTAGTTTGTAACAATCGTAGGGTTGTTCTTCCTCTTTCTTCAGTTCTTACAGCAACGCCACGTTTTACTGGATGAAGTTGTTTATTCAGAGAATTAACCCCTGAGTTGAGCTGAAATAAATCCTGACGTTTTTTGTTTTGCAGCTTTTTCAGTGAAAAGTACACAGCAGAGTCTCGCCAGGTTCTGTCTCATGCAAACCATCCCACACTGGGGTAAGAGGCAGTTATTTATTTCAGCATCATTTCTGTTTGTTTGCGGAAACCTGCTTGTGTAACGGATGTGAAATGTGTTTCAGGTATTCATATGCTATAGTTGGGATCAACCTGACAGAAATGGCGTACAGCCTGCTGAAGAGCGGCGCTCTGAAACCACATTTCTACAATTCAGTCCCAGGTCCTGCGGACCTCAAGGACTTCCACCAGTTTTACTGTGAGTACCTTCAGTGCTTCATAAATCCATTCAGACATATTTAACTTCCGTATTTGGTCACAACGCAGCCACAAACTTCAATGTGTTTTATTTGGATTTTATGTGATTGACCAACACAAAGTAGAACATAAATCTGAGAGGAAGAAAAATGATACATGGCATAGAAATTGGAATATGCACTCATGTTTTCAATACTTTCCGGATGGCCATTGTGGTTTAGTGGGTGGAGACATCGCCTCACAAACTGAGGGTTGTGGGTTTGATTCCAGCTTTCTCTTTAACCTCAAGCTGCCTCCCAATTGGTGATAAAAAAAGAAGATTTTTTTATGTTATATTTTATTGCACACCTTTGGCTTAAATACTTCTCTAAGTATCTTGTTCTTTTAGCAAATAGCCCTTTTTGAGTCTATATATTGCAGTTATCACGATGAATCCAATCAATTGCTGAACTCCTAATCAACGGTATTTTCGTCTTACATAGAGACATCACATAAATTCTAAATTATTCATAGACATGTCGCGTTTTATTGTTTACATCCGGTAATTTTGCGCATGCTTTCAATGCTGGACTCGCCATTGATTGCCACGCTGCTGCAGTAGAACAGCTTTGACTAAATGAAACCTGGAAAAGTAGGTATCATCATTTTTTCCTCTGCAGTGTACCACAGCAGAGATTTACTGAGTATACCACAGTAAAACGTGGTATACTCAGCCATTTTAATCCTAATGTTTCAGGATTAAACGCCAAACAACACGCAAACAATTCGCACACAAAGAGCAGAACATTCAGTGCACTACAGCTTTTTGTTTTTATGCTTGATCTTTATTTCACAATTATCAATAAGGGATTTCTTTGGTAGATTAGCTACTGCTGCTATTAGCTAAGCTAACACTGCAGTGGCTAATTAGCTCATTTAAACACCCACTCTACTGATGATCTACTCGAGTTGGCGTGTAGGTTGCATGTTTTTTTTAACTGAACCAAAACACAATTTAAATGTACTACATTGAAATGTAGCACATTTAAATGTTAAGGTTGTCACAGTCAAGCTAGCATAGTGGATCCACTTCTCTCTCCCTCACTTTTTTAAATTAAAACTTTTTTCTGACCTTGTTATGTAGTTTACAATTAGTAGCAAAGCACTGCATCGCTTTTCCTTTTATACATCAGGTGTATATTTAAGATTTGGATCTTTACATTGACAACTTAACGGCTAAAGCTAATGCTAGTCATTGTCGGCGAGCAGCATTTTCAGGGAACATGAAACCCGCTCCGTGACGTCACGCTGCACTGGGTCTATACTGAGGTTTGTGGTCGTGATACAAAATGTGAAAGCCTTTTGCAAGCCACTCTGTCTGTTCCACATCTCTCCTTCTCAGTGTGGAAGTTTTTCTTCAGCCTCTGTTTTCCTTTTCAGGTTATCTTGCGTATGAGTTTGATAAATTCTGGGTTGCCGAGGAGCCAGAGAGCATCATGCACTTCAATCAGTACAGAGAAAGATTTCACAACATGGTGAAGACTCATCTGCAGGACCCTGACGTGTCCCTCACACTGACGGTCGCTGGCCATTAATCTGCTTCGACGCATTTTACGCTAACCTTCCTGTTTACGTCTCAGTTGGATTTGATTGAAGGAGGCGGGATTATCCAAGAAGACCCACAACCAACAACAAGCAAACTACAAATCTAACCTTTTCAGTTTCTTAAGTGATACTTTAGTGGTTCCCAGTCAAACTTCGTCCAGAACAACAACTATTTTCCACATGCAGCACAAACCCGAACTCCTTTACCTCTGAAAACTGACCATTCCAGAGACTCTTCAGAGAAATGAGAACTGCTGCAGAAGACTCAGGTGGAGATCATGAGGCTTTAAGCACCTGGTTGATCAAATTTTCACATAAAAAATGTAATTACCATGTTTCCTTGTGTTTAAGGACTCTGTGTTGTGACAGTTTTACCCTCAGGTTATTTATGTTTGTCGTTAGCTCATGACTTAAACATAAAACATGGCGCTCCATCATTGAGTCATTTAATATCTTCCCACTCATGTCACGCTCCACCCTGTTTTCAGTCTTTTTATTTCCCAAGTTTTTATTGCTCATTACATTTTATGCTTCAGTTTGCAATTTTGAGAAAGTTTTTGCTTGAAGTCAATAAATTTCACATTTGAATTAAAAATGGTTGGTGTGTTAAAGTGAAATATACGCAGCATAAAATCTGTAGGAGACATAAAAACGTATTTAAGATGAACAAAAACATGTTTTACACATTTCAATAACAAATCATTTTATTAAGATGTAAATAAGTGCTGGTTTAGGCGACCTGAGCAAGTTCTCACATGCGTTACATAAAGTGCAAACTTGTGTTAAGGGCTTTCGCTCCCACAGTGACTGCATCGGTTCCAGAGTATAAAAAAAAAGTTAAATACAACACTGTTTTCAGGAAAATGAAGCTTCAACAGAAGCTGGTTTTCCCTGTATTAGAGGTAAAACATCCAGGTTGTTTCAGGTTTACGTTCAGGCTTTTGAGTGGAATCTCAGTTTGGTGCTTCGATTCTTCTGGACACCATCATGGCTCTCTTGATTTGCTCGAATGAGACGAACATGACGACGTTCCAGGATCCAAGTCTCAGAAACGAAGGCATAAACCTGGAAAACATCGTAAAAGTATTCATACCTCCTAAACTATTTCGTTGGGATTTTGTGTGACAAACCAAAACAAATTGTGCATCGCTGAGCAAAAAAGGGAACTTTGTGCTTTTCAGTTTTTTACAATAAAAATCAGTTTAAAAAATTCAGCCCCACCAGTGTCAAAACTAAGGATAGAGAGCATAAGATCAGATTTCAGTTGCCAGTGAATATCAATTGTATTTCATTCTGAACTTTGACTAGGCCATTCTAACATGACTACGTCTTGATGTGTTGTAGCTCTGGTTGTGTGTTTTTGTTCATGTTCAGTGAACCTTTCTAACTGGTTTTCTTCTCGGATTGCTTGTAATTATTTCCACCCATCGGTGGCGCCCCCAAGTGGTGGCTGGTGGGTGCTGTGGCCACCCAGAGAAGATGACCACAACTTTAATAATTCATGTTCAGTTCATACAAACATGCAGACATCTTCAAACAAAAACAATATAAAACTCAATAAATGAATACATGAAAAGTTTGTGTGCCTATCTTTACTTACTTTTTGGTTCTTTTCAATTATTTTTGTCTTTTTTGCTATTTCTTCACTTTTGTCGTTCTTTTTTAAATGCCTTTAGTTCATTCATTACTTCTTAATTTTTTTACTTCTTTCTTAATCTTTACTCTTGTTTACTTTTCTCTACAACTTTATTCTACTTCTTTCTTTCTTCTCTCTCCTTGTTTTACTTTTTTCTTTCTTTACAACTTTATTTATTTCTTTGCTTTTTACTTTACTGCTTTTTTCTTTACTTTCCTCTTTACTAATTCCTCTCCTTATTTGTCTCTTTGCTACTTTCTTTCCATGTCCCATCTCACAACCTTTCTCGGGTCACCACTGCCATTCATCGTTCCGTCAACTTTCAGCTTCCCTTTCTCCAGTATTGAACAGTATATTCCCACAGCATGATGCAGCCGTCACCACATTTTATGATGTGGATATGGCTTTACCAGATTAGTTGTGTTTTCACCAAGAGTCCTCTAATTCAGTAATCAGGTGGCTGATTCTGAAGACCCTGGGTTTTTATTTACCCTTTGTAAAACGCAGTTGGTCCCTCTTTGGTCATCATGGTCCAGGCGCAGTTGATGGCGCTGCGGTACTGGCCTGGCGGAGAGTTCATGTATCTTGTTTTCACCACATCCACTGGGGAGGCAATCACCGTGGTGACAAAGCCCGCTCCGAACGCAGACACAAAGTGGCACGGAAGATTATCTGTAGGGAGATAATGAAGGATCCCATCAACTGAGAGGTGATTGTTCTGGGTCTGCGTCAGCAGTCTGTGTAATCTGGATGGAGCTGAAAAATGGTTGAGATAAATTAACTACAGTATTTACATCTTTCTGTGACGGGACTTTACAACATGTTCTGTACCGGCTGGTTATCAGCTGCAGGGGAGGGAAAGAGGTTAGTGGGTGGGGGAGTCTGGTCCAATTGGTAAACTCCTCTCAAACAGAGGAGTGTTAAAGGAGAGCACATTGAAAACACACTCTTATCTCATGATTATATATTTTAGTTAACTTTAGAACTTGAAGTAAAGCTCAAAAAAGTCCATTTTACATAATCCTGTTTCATTATTACATAATAAGTTGGCTTGCCATAGTGAACTCTTACCTGACAACAGTTTGTGTCTGAGAATGGCCTCTTTGATCAGGTCATAGGTCACCAGTTCTGTGCAGTTCACCAGTGCATTTCTTGTGATGTTGGGTAATGTTCCTGAAGGACACACACCCCCACACACACTTAAAACATTACTCAACAACACTGTTTGTGGATTTTGTCCCCTGAGGTGGGAACCTCTCCTCTCACCTTTCCACAGGCCTCTTAAGCCCTCATTGAGGAAGATTTGTCTGTAGGCTTGCATTGTGCCGTTGTAGCGCCGCGCCACGCCGTTCAGGTTCATCTGGGCCTGGAATCGAACCTTGACCACGTCGGTGGGTTGTGCAAACGACACGGCCATGGCACCTGTTGTGCAGCCGGCTAGAATCCGCATCAGAACGCCTGGATCTGGAGACACATGAGTGATACATCATATGTCTTTAATTAGTCCTAACCAAAGTAAGTGTCTTTTGCAGCTCGAGCTGAGACTTCAGTGTTCCCTGATTTAATGTCTTACATGAGTTAAGAGTTAAGACAAAACTCACTTGCAAGTAACTTTTTAGCAATATAGGAACTTGCATTAAGTAAATATTTTCTTATTTTTGATAAAAATGGGAAATTATTTCACTTAAAACATGGGAAAATGTCTTGTTTTTAGTAAAATAATCTCCCAGCATACTTAGTACTTCTTCATCAATATTAAATATTTATTGACCTAGAATAAGTGCATTTGTTGGAAATGTGTACTAAGACATTTCCAGTAGAAACGAGGTAAACAGATTTTGTGTTTTTGCAGTGTGCAGGTGAAATCCTACTTTCTTTGCCTCCAGTGTAGAAGTTTTTCACGTTGTCATAGAGGCCGATTCTGATGGAAGCGAAACACAGCTGCCTCTGCAGTCCGGCCACCAGCCCGTTGTACAAGGACCTGGGCCCCTCGGTCCGGACCATGGTGCTGATGGTACCAAACACCCCTCTGTAGCGGATCCCACCCACCGCTTGCTTCTCCCCTTGAATCTAAGGTAGAGAAATCATTTAGATTTTTCCAGGAAATCAGAAGATAAATCCATTTTAATTCACATTATAATGTTTGGTCATTTGGTGAAATGATATTTTCACAGACAAAGAAGTCTTTTGATATTAATTGCAAAATGTTTATATTTTTTGTACATAGATTTTCAGAGTCAATGTTTTCCAGTTATCGATTATTAAATTAGTTGATGATTATTAGAGTAATCGATTAATCATGATTGATTTGATTAATTGTCTCAGCCCTAGATTATTGTTGCCATTTCTGTTTCTGTAGAAAGGGAGATACGTTTGATCAATGTAATATTAGTGATTGTTGTCAATCGGCCAATATTGTGATAATAATATTGGTTGTCTATATTGGTCAATATGAATATTTCCATTCATAGTCACTTCTTCTAAGATTATTTTCATAACCGACTAATCACAATTGACTCAAATAATTGTTTCAGCCCTAATTTCTATCTTGTTACTGTTTGTGTTTCTGGAGAAAGGGGGTCAGGATTGGTAATATTAGTAAATATTGTTGATTGGCTGAAATTACATTACTAATATTGGTTATCGATACTGGTCCAACTTTTCAAATCGGTGCAAACCTAAATTTGGATGAAGAAGTAACTGTAAATTATTTACACATCAAAATGATCTTTTGGTAATGTCTTCACATATTTTTCAAATACTAGTTTTATTAAGTGAATCAATTCACTTTATTTAAACAAATAGTCGTTTTTAGAGCCTGTATTCTTCACTTAACAATTAAAGGATTATAATTTCAACAATCAACTAATCACTATTAATTTGATTGATCATTTCAGCCATTAACTGGTGATTGTTATTATAACTTGCTGGTACCTGTAGTCTGACTTTGGCTGTGTCCAGAGGAAACGTCACCATGTCTGCTATGCAGGCTGCGGCTCCGGCACTCGCCATCTTCACCCCAAGAGGAGGAGGCACATCTGAGGGCTTGAGTCCCACCATGTTCCCTGCCTCTGCAAACATAAATATCTTTGAGTTCACATTAAATCAGGGAAGTCTCAGCTAGAGCTGCAAAAGACACTTACTTTGTTTAGGACTAATTAAAGGTTCTTGTTTTGGTCCTGAGATGTTACCAGGCAGAGTTTGAAGGACCAGATGGTATTCCTCAAAGGGCCCCTCTATCACAGAAAGGAAAGAGGCATCTCTCGCTCTGCAATTATATACTTACTGTCTGGTTTTTTTATGGCATCCACAGAGAGGCGTCACTGTGCACCTTTGTATGCCCAGGTTCAATCAAAGTCCACTCCCTGCGAGATAATCAATGTTCAATTCACCTCACTGGGCCCTTCACTAAAAACAAGAAAAACAAATTCTGTGGTCAGTGAAAAGAAATGTTATGCCTCAAAGTTCTTAGACATAATTTCACATCTCTATTTTATTGTTGATAGGGATGCCCACATCTGGTTCATTGAGTACAAATGTGTGTCAGCAGATTTCCCACTTAAACATTCAATAATATTAGGTAATTATTTACACAGCAGGAACATCACTGATATCTGAGCTCTGTCTGATGAGGTTTTTGGGGGCTTGTCCGGGCTTCCAGCCAATAACAGCGCAAACATGCAAACAGCAGAATCACAAGTCTGGAGACTTACAGCATTCACAATTTCATGCTGGGTTTTGTTTACTGTCTTAGTCTGAAGATATATCTGTTGTTTTTTTCTGGCTGCTTTTTCAGTTGTTTTTGACAAATCAAACGTGAGGAAGCATAGATCTGAGCAGTGACGTTCATCCATGACTGAAGTTCAACCACAGAAGATAAGAGCTTTGAAATCACATCGTGTTGTGGCCGCAGCTCAGTCTGTTATATAAGAATAAATGCACATATGCATTGACTTTCAAAAGTATTCACACTCCTTGGACGTTTTTACAGTAACTCCTTTCTTCATCTACAGATTTAATAGGACTTATTATTATGATTTATTGTCATCGTTAATCAGTTATTCAGAAAATGGTTTGTCAGACTGATCATTTTTATTATGTTGTTTATGTTGCCAATGTCTGGGTGACGTGTTTTATTACCAAAATCAAGTCGTGAAATGGGAGTCAACATCTTTTAAAAGCAGCTATGAAAATTCAACTTCATTTGCAGACATCCAACCATTTAAAAATGATATGCAATGTTCTGTAAATTAAAATATTCTCGGATCTAAGGTCTTTAGTTGAGCCAAACCAACTATAATGGTAACATTTTAGAAGGAACATTTTTAGGAGATTCAAACTTTTAATAACTATAATAACTTTAATAACTTTCAGCCTTTTTAACTGTTTTGAAACTGAAACATTTTGAATAATTTCACTTAATAAAATTTCCCTTTTAATGAAATGTCATATGAACTTGAAGTCTTTCAACTGTTCCCTTCAGACAAATATAATGTTCAGTGGATTAATGATTCATTGCTCCCTCAGGAGTCCATAAAAGGCTTGTTCCCACCAACCAATGGCATTCTGGTTTGGTATCTTACTGAGCTGTGATTGGACGTCTGCAACCACAACCCCCATAAGCTCAGACATTAGAGACGGATGAGTGGAAAGGACGAGGTTTGTTTTTCTCGTTGTCTGATATGCCACATGCTGAGAGAATTAAGACTGAAACTAATTTGAAAATAACACTTTGCAGATGTTAACTGTTGTAACTCTTTTGGTCAGATGTTTCCTTCAGAGTCACGATTTTTATCTGCTTAAAGATCATTTTGAACTTTTGAAACTACATACTTTAGTATTTCTTAAACTTATTGTGTAAACTGAATACCGTTCTTAGAAATGTTAGTTTTTTTTAAATGTATTGATTTTGCTTTTAAAATCTGTGGACTTTGCTGCATTAATTCAGTCTGTGCCAGATTAAACCAGTGTGGTTCTGTCCACAGAGAGAAGGATCATAAACCCGGCCTCTGGCTGGGTCATTAGGTCAGAGGTGAAGCGGCAAGCAATTAGATTTCTGTACAAGAAATATGTAAAATATGGATTTTAACAAAAAAGGTTTGACAGATTAAAACAAACAAACAAAAAAAAAAAACACCAAACCATGTAGTATATTTTTTGTCTTATTCTGGATTTCTTTGTGTCTTTTTGGTAACGAGAACAGATTATGACCCAGTTTAGCTTTATTCTGACAAGCTTGTTAATCTAAACTGCCCAGGTCACATGTTTTTTTGTTTCCTTCTACTCTAAAAAGAAATTATATTCAAACTAAAAACCTGAATGAATACTTTGTGTGTCAACTGGTACTGTGATCAAGGACCATTCAGAATTGTTCTGAGGGCTTTAAATGGCCCCTGGGCCGCACTTTGGACACCGCTGATATGTTTGGCTTAAATAAAGGAAATATACGGGTTCTGCCACTAGATGGCAGTCACGCACCATTTACGGGAACATCTGAATAAAAGCTCTGAAGGCAGCAATTTGAATTAATGACACTGATTTTAATTAGACGAGTGATTCACAATGCACCAGAATCCAGAGCAGCAACATCTGGTCAAATAAATTCAACATATTTACAGTAGAAGAAAAAAAAAAAATATGTAAAAATGCACAAAATTAAAAAAAAAAAAAAAACGCATGTCTAGAAGGACAAAAATGTAATAAGAAAAATAAAAGGCAAGCAGATGCAGTTGTGGGCTTTGACACATTGTAAACAAAGAAGCTCTTCATTTTAGTGTAATAATACTGAAATAAATGAAAATATTTTCTCTGTAGCTTAAATAAAATGTCTTAGCAGTTGAATAGAATCTGTATATGCATTTGTTGTACAGGTTGGTTTCGTTTTTTTGTCAACTGAAGAAAATAAATAATTTGCTAAAGTGACGAACAGCATTAAAGTGAACTGGAGTGTTTTCACAACAATGGATCTCTATCGCTCCGTCTTCTGGCTCCTTATAAGGACGTAGCAGCAATCAGAATTGCAACTAAAGGAAGCAACAGTTTGACCAGATGCGATAAGTGACGATACACACTGTAGAATATTCATATCCGCGTAGGAACTGTACTGTACAGAACTGTGCAAAAGTTCTTTAAAAGCTGCTTCCATGGAGCTGAACTTTTATGTTTCCTGCTGCTAAATTTTCGGTAACGGGTTCAAAGGTTACGAGAAGATCTAACAGCTCTGAAGCAAAGCATTGAAGTGGTTTCAAACAACACTACATGTGTGGACATCTACACAGCCTAGTTGTACAGAGATATCAGATAAATACCACTTATGCATACTGTCTTATAAAGGTACAGCCACTACTTATACACACTTGATTTCATCTGAGCAAACCATGAGCGAGTCTCTGCACTGCAAAAACTCAAAACCTTACCAAATACGTTTGGTCCATTTTCTTAGAACTCTTGAAACTAATTCAGAAAAATATGAGATCTTGTTTACAGCCAATAATTCCTTAATATTGATGAAAATGTTCTAGTTCCACTGGCAGATTATTTTATTTATAAGTATGGGTGCACCCATTGCATTTTTCTGGTCGATTATAAGCTTTAAAAAGCCAGACCTGCAGGTTCTGATTTTGGCCGATGTTGATTTTTTTTGTCTGAAATGTTGCTACATATAGCAAGAAAGTCGCTGAGTTGGCAAGAGTGGGTTGACGATTGTTAACTGTGAACGAGCAGAAAGTCAAGCCTCTCTCACTGCAGAGCAGAAGAGGACAAAGGTTGATTTTAAAACCGCCAAGTAAGATTGGCGGATAAAATCACATGCATGCATCAGCCGATCAAAGATTTAAGGAAATAAAGGCCGATTTATCAGTGCACCATCACTTATAACATAGGAAAAATATCTTGTTTAAAGTGAATAATCCTCCAGAGGAACTCATACTTTCTCATCAATATTAAGTGTCTGTTTACTTAAAACAAGTTCCTATATTTTCCTGAAAAGTTACTGGTAAATTAGTATACCTGAAATAAAACAAAACTAATATATTTGCACTAGAAATTGGACCAAAAATACTTGGTATTGTATTTTTGCAGCGCAGTCTTCTCTTCAGACGACAGTATCTATTGATTTACATAGTAGGTTTTAAATTTCTGGTAAAATACGTGATTAGAAGCAATTTTGGTCACATTCTTTCACATATACACTCGTACAATTTCCTCCATAATCCTAGAAAATGTCACGGAAACCCTTCAGAACCGCTTTAGTCCTTCAGCCAGAGAGAGATCTCATAGTCACTTGTGGACAGCAGGGGGCGCCCGACTTTCCGCACGTTCTTGGCGTTGGTGATGCATGCCGCCACGTCCACCGGCTTCTCGAAGTACCGCACCAGAGCCTGCTCGGTGAGGACGGAGGCCAGGAACTGCTCAAAGGTGATGGCCCAGTCTTTGTCGATGCTGGTGCTGTGCGGCAGCTCGCCGCCGTTGGAAATCCCCCTCCGTTCGCGCTCCGAGGGCCGATCGTCGCTGCGCACCAGCACCGTGTCGTCGGCGATGTCTTCGCACTGCAGCTTCTCGTCCAGCTCGTGGGAGCCGGCGCTCAACACCGAGTACGACGACATGGACGTGTCGTCTTTTGTTTCGTCGTCGGAGATGAGCATGGCGGACGACGTCCCCGTCTCCTTGGGGGACGAGTCTTCCAGCTTGATGTCCTGCATGGGCGCCAGCTCCTCGCTCACATCCTGCCGCTTGTCCTCCTCGCAGGGATTCGGCTTGTCCTCCAGCTCCGCCGGGATGAAAACATCTCCCAGATCCGGAGAGTCTTGAGTGGATTTGAGAGCCACCAAGTCTCTCCTGCACAAACTCGACTCCGAATTCGTCTGCTGGCTGGGGTCCTTCCGGCCGCAGGAAGTGAAGAGCTTCCCCACTTCTCCCATTTCCAGCAGCAGACTGGTGACGGTCGCAGTGGCGTGATAAAGCTCCTGCTCAGCTACGTCCTCACTGAACATGCTGTAGAGCGTCTTACAAAGCTCAATGAACTGACTCTGAAAGACAGAAACAAGACGTCACAATTCTTATCATCATCAGAAATTATCACCATAAATGATAAACATTATGATGAATGCCAACAGCATTTATCATAATGCTCTGTTCTCTACTCTCTGACTTTCTCTGTTGCTTTTTGAATCATAGCTTCTGTGACAACAAGGGTTGCTGGTGCCGATGGAGATTTACTCTACATGGATCCACTTTTTCACTTCCGATATGTGAGGTTTAGTATCGGCGAACACAACACCAATACTGAAAAACATTGCTGAATTAACTTAAAAAAACTATGTATTTTTTTTAAACACAGACATAAATGTTCTGAATTATGATCTCGAAGCACAAATCCTACCTGGTTCAGCTTTGGAAGGTCCTTTGTGTTTTCTCGTCTGGGCTTCGTCTCTTCGTTCCACAGTTTCAGGTAATGACGGTAATCAGGAGTGCTCAGTTTCTTCACTGTCAAATAAATATAAAGAATCTCTTCAAGATTTTCAGATTTAAATTAGACTCTTGGGTTCCACATTACAGTTAAGATATTCTATAAACAGGCACATGTGCCAGAAACATAGTAAAAGCATTTAGTAAAATTGCCTTTTGAACTTATAACTTGGGTCAAACATTTGGGTTTTCATAATCGTCTCAATAATTTACTAGAATTTTAGCCCATTCCTCCTGACAGAACCTCACTCAAAAGAAGGAAATCATTTGAGTGGCTCTATTCTCTGGGTTTGTTTTTGAGTCATGGCTTCTGTGAGCAGCTTTTCAGGCAATGTTAGTAGAGGACTCACTTCACTGTAGATAGTGACACATAATTAGCTTCAGCCTGAATTCGCCCATTCCACATACAGACACAGAACCTTCTTCTTCCCTGACGAGGTTTTTTATTAAGCATCTTTTCTCATGTCCTGTGATTTCTCTCACCTTTTTCAGTCTTGAACGTAACTCTGACGAAGCCGTCATCCTTCTCGCCTCGACCCTTTGAGTCCCGACCTGACAAGATAAACAGTAAATAAGTAACCTGAGTATGATCAAAGCATACTCATGTTTTAAAATGGTCTAGTCAAAGTCCAGATTTAATACTCAGAATCTGTGGCAAGACACAGCATGTTTTTTTTAATTTATTCCCTTGATTTTAATTGTGCATCTTATTTAATGGAAACATATCTATTCTTATCTAAATTTACAGACAAAGTGCATTTTCACAATATTAGCTTTGTGTTCCTTTTTCATACATAATTTCAACAATTAACACTTAATTTTGTCATATTAATTTGCGAAATTGTGGAAATGTTTTCGCTTTCTTCATTCAAACCCAGAAAAGTGGTTGAAAAAGCAGCAAAACTATTCAAACTTTTGAAAGACCTTAAGGATAAAAAGTTGGAAGAAACTGGTTTAGAGTTGCCTTTGATTAATAGTAAATGAGACATTTATCAACATATTTTATATATATTATGGTTTATAAAATCAACATTTGTTGCTGAAATGTGCTTTACAAACAAACTTGACCCAGATGAACAAATGTATCCATTGAAAAGCTTCTGCAACGTCATCTCGTTCAATCGGCATTGCTTTAATCAGACAGTGGGATTTGTGGTTCCATGGTTGACTCAACTGCATCCTTCACATGCAAATCACATCGCCACAAAATCTGATTTTATTCACCACCTGCATGATGAAAATCTCCAGTCTGCTTTCTGAGTCTGTATGCCGATCTGCTCTGACGAAACCTGAAAAATACAACGTGTGTGTCTGATGGGAATTTTAAACTTACTGATGGATGTTTCTGGAGTGATGTCTTCGAAGAAGTACTGAGTGGCTTCGAAGGCCGAGTCGGGCTCTTCCTGCTCTTGAGTGATCTCTGGGGAAAAACAGTTTCTTTGGAGAATTAGGCTAAAATGCAAAGTTCAAGGGGGCTCAAAACTTTGTATCTTGTTGAAAAACAGATGCTAGTACAAATATTTTAGTACACTAAAAATAAGATAAGTAGCTGCGTTCCACTGGCCATATAATGCTAAAATATTAAACAAGAAATTTTGATTAAAAAAAATTTGGTCTGAAGATTAAGTTTTTCTTTTGGTCGTATCAAAATTGTTTTATTTTGTAAAACTGCAATCACATAAGTCACATGAACAACAACCAGATGTCACTAAAGGCGGAAAGACGAATCAGAAGACAGGAAGTAGTTGGAAGATGATGGTGCAGCACGTTTTTTAAATGTGTTTACATGATTTTAATTGCATTTCTTAATTAATGAAAAGGTTTTGTACTTTGACATTTGTAATGGAAAGCAGCTGCTGTTCAGTAGTATCAAATACTTGTTGTTGCTTGTCTGACACTCACCAGGTAAGATGTGCATCTTATAGAGGAGCTTCAGCTTCTCCGTTAGATCCCCATGACACAAAACACCTGCAGCACAACATGGAGTTGAGAGCTGAGACAGAACCAACTACAACCAGAACGGATGTGTTCGTAACCCATCCCTGCTAACCCAGGCCGTTGATGAAGTCTCGGAAGTTGAGGAGGGCGTCTCCGTTTTCATCCAGCAGACGGAAGAAACGCACCGCCAGCGGATCAGAGTGGGCCCCGTTGGCCCAGGGGAACAGCAGGGAGAACAGGCCCTTGAACAGCTCCACGTCGATGCGGTACTGCTCCAGGTACGGCAGGCTGGGGTCATGGTGCTCGGTGGGGTTACTGCTGCTGCCCCAGTAACAGCTGCTCAGGTGCTCTGCCTGAAGAAGACAATAGAAGAGAAACTTTAAAAAATAGACAGAATTTTGGTGATTCTGACTGACGCAAAACAAGAGAAGTTTGATCTGATTTAACTTCTGACAGTGAGAAAAAATAGCAAAGCTTCAAACTGCTGATAATTATTTCAGTAGTTTTTGGTTTCTGCTTAACAGCTATAACATAAGGTAAACAAGCAACATTTATTGTTTTTCTTACTGTGAACTTTCAGTTATTTTATGGAGTGCTGTACTGCTCACTTGTTTTAAAACGGTTTTGTAATTTTACAAAACTATCAATACAAAGTTGAGATTTTAGCGTCTTTTATGAGCGATTAGCATATTTAGTGCTGTTGTAACCACAGTCGTTACTGCGTGTGTGCGTGTGTGTGTGTGTGTGTGTGCGTGCGTGCGCGTGTGTGCAAAACAAGTGTAATTCTGTAGCAATATGTTCAACTTTCCCATTATCTGCTGAAAGCTTTGCTCTCTCTCTCTTTTAATCCTCTCTCCTCAATAACAACATTCACACTGAAGAGTGTTGCTGTACTACTTAATATCGTTCAGCTTGGTGATGCTGACTAAAAATGGAACCTTTCTTGATTAATCTGTTCAGCGTCAATCCAGTTGGAATTGTGGTAACCTTCTTTCTATAATAATCAAGATTATATCTTATGTTTTCTTACGATTAAAAAGTTGCGACTCACCTTGAAAAGCACGTAAAGCTCCTCCAACTCATCAATACTGAAAGCTGTCTCTGTCACAATAGTTCGAACCTGGAACAAAAGAGGACGAACCGTAAAACGACATCCAGTTACTTTTCTGCTATTAGATTTAAGGAGCAGCATGGACTAAACTATGCCTCAAAAGAAACTCTTAATGATCGCAGAAGTTTCTTACCACATTACGTTTGGTTGTGTCCTCAATTGTCTGTATGACCCTCAGTCTCTGTTTGAAGCGCATCTGTTCAATCACGTCTGCGCGGATCGACCCGAATTTCTACCGAAAAGAAAAAAAACACAGAAATGAAGGCTGGATCTCTATCAGTACACTAAAAAAAAAAACAAAAAAACAGAGCATCTTCAAATTATTGTGTTAAAATCCAGACATGTTTTAAACACTGATCAGATGTTTTACCTCATAGGAGCTGCTGACCAGTTTGAAGATGTCCACTTCTGGATGTGGTTCTCCGTTATCGGTGAGCAGAGAGTGAAGGTGAGGGATGGGAGGCAGGGTGCTGTCCTTATTGGTCACACTGTCCAGGTACCTGCAGGCAGACAAGATGAGGCCGCATTAAAACAGGCAATGATTGGGTCACCAGCACAGCAACGCAAAACATAACAGAAACAAATTAGTTTTGAGATGTTGCTGTTCAGCTTCTAATTAAAGCTGCATGTACAGAAATGTGTCCAGATATCAACAATAACCAGAAAACAGTCCCAAAATATCATTTACAAATGAATGTTTCTGCCTAATTACACCTTTTATTTTATCAAATGCTGCAGGAATGAGACTGTTGTTCATTAGACCAGTAAATGTGAAGTTATTTTGAAAACATGAAATGTTATTTTTCATTAAATTAAAAACTGATTTTAATGCTAAAATGCCAGAATCTGTACGTTGTTGAAAGACGTTTTGTCCTCTAAGGCTGAACGGACTAAAATTTGAAAGCTAAAGTGTTAACTTTGCTGTTCTTGCAAAAATATGTGCACCGATTTATTGGTGCAGATTTCCTTAATTTTGGGAGATCAGTGATCAGCTGATACTTGCATGTGAAGTGGATCCTATCCACTGATCATATCTACCTCAGCAAAGGTCTAAAAATCAAGCACTGTCCTCTTCTGCTCTTCTACGGCTCTTTAAGATCAGTAATCAGCGATCGGCCAGAAAACTGTAATCAGTGCACCCCTAGCTGCATCTCTAGCATCTCCTCCTCCATACCTGCCCAGGACAGTCATGGCCTCTCCGTCGTCCTTGCAGCCCAGTAACTGGTGGATGTTGGCGTGCAGCACGGAGAGCGCCAGCTGAAAGATGACCTTGATGCCGTCGTAGAAGAAACAGTCGACCACCACCACAGCGCTCTCGAACGGCATGACGGACAGGAAGAGGGTGAGGAACCAGGAGAGAGAGATGGTGGATATGACGCCCAGGTCCTGCATGCAGTCGTAAAGCTGAGGCACGTACTCGCGAGCGAGCTCCTCGAACACTCCCTGATCAACCAGAGCTCCTAAACGGGAGGGTACAATGCCGTTACGTCTTCACACACACAAATCACTAAATCTATCTGGGTGTGTTCAGACTGACCCACTACTCTTGTGTTGTAGTAGTCAGGCAGCATCCTCTCACAGAGAGCCACCAGGAGCCAGAAAGCTTCTTCTTCTTTAGCGTAAAGCAGCAACACAGATGTGACAATGTTCATGGCCTGTCGAGACAAGAAAGATTCAGAAACAGGGAGGTAAACTGCTGCTGCTGCAGGCGACGTCCAAGCCTGACCTTTGGAGTCCCAACCTGAGACTTCAAAACTAAATTTTAAAAGAATGAAGAGTGAAGAAACAGATCCTGGATAGAACTGGAAGATAAATCGATTTAATATGTTGAGATAGACGCATGATCAGAGTCAATAGATAATATGTCTGATAGAATATTCTGATCCAGTGTTCGGTCACCCCTCGCTGCTGTTGGCGGGTCATGTTGGGATAAACAGAATCACGTCTTCACCTGACAGTAGCCGATGTTGGGGTTCCTGAAAGCGTAGGCGGTCAGGACCCTGCGCAGTGCGGCGATGCCCATCTCGTTCTGGAAGGCCGGGTGCTCCGGCAGTGAGCGGTGCAGGTCCCTCTCGATCTCCTCGGTGGCCAGGTTGTACTTCCCCATCGATTTCTCCACCAGGTCTTCGTAGTACCCGGGGTGAGTCGTCATCTCGTTGATCGCCCCTGTCCAGAAAAACATGCAGGATTTAAAAACTGAGAGCAGCAACATGCATGACGTCTGCTGGTTTTCAAACCATGTGGTGTAAAATGACGCAACAGCTGCATGTTTCAGAGTTCAGGGAAGATTAATGTGATTAAAACTGAACAGTGAACTTTATCTTCTGCACTGAAGATGCATTTACTCATTAACAACTAGGTCAGACCGTCTGTGACCTACCTTCACTCAGGTGACGATCTGCAGCTGCAGGCGTGTGACACATGGCTGTGGTTGTAAACTGAAACCTCTGGATCGTGTTCTTACTTGCGGCATGCTTTGGGTGGTGAAAGATTTCGCTTCATGAGCCGAAGCTTGAAAACTGACACAGTGCTGTTCCCTCTGATACAAGTAAATCCAGTTGTGTTGGATTAGTTCCTGTCAGTTCAATAATTTGCAACTGTTTTTGCACGTCTGCTTTTTCTATATTAACCTGGTATAGGCTGAAATTGACCTGATAATTGCCTTTAAAACTCTGAGACATTTCTCTAAATATATTGTAAAGACATGCAGTTCAAACATTATGTAATAGCAAAGGCCAACACTCGAGTTTTTCTTGTATGTCTATCGCCTTTCTCAAACAGTTCCAAGTCTTTTTGATCAATTTGTACAATTTTGTTCCTGATTTTTTTAATCCAAAGTGATTTAGTAAGAGTATTAATGTTCAGTTGTAGCTATTTTACACAGAAAAATGGGTGAAGAACATTTCAGTGTCTATGTTTTGCAACACTGGCAGAGAAAACCTGCAGCTGCAAATGCAACAAAAAGGTGGTTCAATAAAGTATGAAGCTTAATGAGGCTGAGCACAGAGTAGAGACATTTTTCTTCCAACTCATCATGCACTATTTTATAATGGCCTTAAAAATTAAATACGAATTAGTACATTGAAGTTTGTGATTGTAATGTGACAGAATATAAGGAGGTTGAAGGAGTATTAATGCTTCTTGAACAAACTGCAGATTAAACCAAATGAAAATTAATCAAGCTGCAGATGTTTTAGAGAAACTTCTCCCAGCAGATGTTAAACTGCGGTTCTCTAATCTGTAAACAGGAAGTCTTTGTTTTATAAAACGTGCCTGAAATACGCGTTAGGCTTCCTTTCGGCTCGGTGTGTGGTTTCCAGCAGGGGTTCCTGCAGGTAATGCGTTTGAATCGTTTGCACACCTGAAAACAGCAGCCACAGTTCTCCCCTCATGCTCTCGGGGATGCCTTTGAGGACGAGTTCCTTCGTCTTCTCTGTCCGGTACATGCACACGCCCTCGCCGTACTCTGTGAAGTGGTTCTTCCAGGCCTGCTCCTTCAGGAACTCCTTAGCCTGAGAGGAAGTGAAGACGGCAGGGATCAAAGGTCGGGCAGACGAGACGGGAGGATTCCTCCCTGCAAATCGTAATGGGACTCACCAGTTTGGGGTTAAACTCCTCAGGTGAGCGGCGGCGGTACATGGTCATGAGAGCCTCTGAGGCTGTCGGCACGGTGTTGTCGTTCAGGTTGAAGGTGCGCTCGACATCTGAGGCCAGACTTTGCTGCGGACTGCAGGACAGCAGGGAGCCGTGATGGGAGTAAACCTGCAGAAGAGCAACATTTAAATGTGTTTGACAGGTGAGGCAAGTCCCAAAATGGGCTTTTAGCTTTGATGCAAACAAAACTCCTCAGCGTTTTAGCTGTTTTTCTGGAAGCTTGTTCCAGATTTGTGGTGCATAGAAGTGGAAAACTGTTTCTCCATGTTTGGTTCTGGTTCTAGGGATGCAGAGCAGAACCAGAACCAGGAGACCTGAGAGGTTTGGAAGGTTGATACAACAGCAGCAGATCTTTAATGTATTGTGGTGCTAAACTGTTCAGTGATTTATAAACTAGCAACAGTATCTTAAAGTCTGTTCTCTGAGCTGCAGGGAG